TGCATGCATTGGCAGTGCAAATTTTGCATCCTAAAATTTAATACAAAATTTACACCATAATCTTACCTACCTTCATTCTATTCCATCGAAATTCAAAGTGGAGAACATATTATTTTATTTTTCATTATTAATTCTGTCTTCAAGAACAAATAGAGAAAAGTTAAACTTGAAAGACCAAAATTTTAAAAACACTCTATCCGAATTTAAATTTGCACCATAAATATATAGAACTTATCTCAAGTCAAGTGAAATAATTTTATGTCAATCTAATGTAATGTAGGGTTCCAACCATTAATTGGGTAAGTTTCTTATAATTTTGGGCTGGTTTGGATTAATGTTTTTGATGTTGTCAAAATTGATGTGGACAAGCTTCAGATAAGTCCTATCGAATTGAGGGTGCACCAGACCATCTGTATAAGGATGAATCAGAGGCTCTGAGGAGGTTCTTTGGAGAGAGGCAATCCAACACTTAAGTAAAAAATAGAGTTGTTTACGGGTCGGGTTGGATCGGTTTATTGAGGTTTTTTTAATCGATCCAACTTGGTCGGGTTACCTGAGATGGAAATTAAAACCGACCCAGTGTTAAGCAAAACCGACCTGGTCGGTTTGAGTCGGATTGGGCCGGTTTGGATCAGTTTCGACTCTAAGTTCATCCATGCCCCTCATGGCCCATGTGCCTGTGTAGTGCAAGTTTGGGTTGTTAGATATTTCAGTTTTTATGTAAAATTGAAATATCTTTATTTAACAGCTTTAAATATAAAATATATTTAAATTAAAATCGAAATATATATTAAAATATATTAGTTCGATTTAATTTTATATCGAAATATATATTTAAGTAGTTAAGTAGGAACTAGGTCGGTTCAGTTCGGATCGGTTTTAGTTTTCATACAAGAAAATCGAAACCGACCCAAACCATCGGTTTATGAATTTGTACAACCCGAAACCGACCGGTGCTGATGAAAATCCAGTCGATTCGAGTTAGGTCGGTCCAATTTGGTCGTATTGGGCCTTCTTATGAACAGCCCTAGTAAAAGATGGAGGAGATTAGCTAAATTAAAAAATTGGAGAGCAGAAAAGCAAGAGAACAAAAGAGCAAAAGAACTGTAGAAATTAGAATTGAAGAAGAGAGATATGGAGCTGGGATCTGCACTTCACAAATGGGCACCTCACAGACACATCCACCGTGCATTAGAAACATCTTTTGTGAATAATAATTAACAAGTGCAAAAGGTATTTCCAATGCATGGTAGGATGTGCGTGTAAGACGCCAGGTGTAAGGAGCAGATGCGGTTTGTGAGATATGTGGCGTCGTGTTCCTCGCTTCTAGGGATATGTGGCGCTTTGTCGAGGAGGTTGATGGCCGGAGTCCTCAAGCGGTTCTGCGCTCCTTAGTGAGGGCGGCTATTAAGTAGTCTATGACCCACCATGTGCCCTGCATCCTTCCAAGGCTCTCACTGGATGGTGTGACTATCAGCCGAGGATGTCGGCTGACCTCAGACCATGTTGGCGTCCACATGGCAAATAGAGAGGGCCGGGATATGATTCATCGGTTTTAAAAAATGACCCGAATTAAAATCACTTTAACCACTGGTTTTCACTCTCCATTACGAGGATTTTAAAAGCTAAAAACTATAAAAATAATTAAAATAAAAACTAATTCAAAACCATTGTTTGAATTCAAAAGGTTAACGGTTTGATTGCTCAGCAGGTTTTTTTTTTTTGAAAACACTCAGCAGGTTGCTAACCAATTCAGAGGTTTTAGAAAAACAATGACCTAGAGTTAAAACGAAACTGGTACCCTGGCCGGTTTTTGGGGCTACTAGACCTTTTTTTGTATTCAATAACTTTCCACTTTCTCTTTTTCCTCAAAGTGTTAGTTGTGAGATTCGATTCTACATTAATATTAAAACAAATTAATTCAACTAGCACACCAACGATCCAGCCTTCGGTTGATCGTGGCTAATGGACTTAAGCACCTGAATGAACAATCATTTAAAACCTAGTTTGGAGAATAAAGGTGTTAGGAATTGTTATTGCACGGATTGGCTGGGGGTAACGAGGTAAATTTATTCTCTAGGTTTCAAATGTTGGTCCAGGATTTCGAGGCCTCAGAAGAGGTGAACTGAAGTCGAGGACTGCAAGTTGAGGCGAGGTATTCCTTCAGAGGACCGTGGTAGTAGAGGACTGTAGGCCGAGGCAAGGTCCCTGGTGACCAAAAGTACTGCAAGACGAAGAATGTCAAAGGCCTCGGGTGGGTACCTGAGGCAGAGGCTCCGGCGTTCAAATTAGTACGAAGTGTAAAGTAGGAGAGGATGTAGACGAAGTCTTGGCAATAGTCTTCCGATGCACCAGATCTCCTGGAGTAAAGGAGTAAATGAGTAAATTGTGTTAGAATTTTCTATTCTGGATCTCTTTTAAGGAGGAACTACCTCTTATTTATCCTTAAATAAAAACCGTACGAAATTAGGCAACAGGACCTAATGATATATTTGACCGTTATGCAGTTGACTCCTTACGAAGGCAGTAGGACTCCCTCCTGCTATAGCTGATGCTGTGAGGCGTTAGTGGGCTGGGCTTGGGCCAAACTAACCCACATCAGGAATCATCATAGTTCATAATCTAATATCTTTTGATTTGAGAGGATTATTGTCTTGGTAGTGGGGGTGGGTTCAGCTCGGCATGGATGTATTAGCGGAGTCTAGTCTTTAAAAATGGTCAATGACGTGTTAGTACAAAGTGTCGAGTCCGGATCGGCGGTATGAGCATAAAATGTGTTGCAAGCGTCTGGGTTGGGAGCAGATTCGGACTCCAAACTCGAAATTGCCAAGTAAAGTTATAAGTAAAAAATAAAACTTTTTTTTTGGTAGAAGTAAAAGAATAAGACAAAAAGGCATTACTCAAAAACAAAATTCTTTCAACCGCGTAAATAAAGTATGAAGAACATTCCAGGGAATTCCTATTTTCAGTCGTGTGTGTTTTGTTTCGAAACCTCCGTCCCGTTTCTCTGCTGCCTTTGGCCTTGGCCATTCAATTTTCCAATGACTTGCTTTTACAGTTGTACGCTTCGTCTTAGAATTTTCCTTTGCCGCAGAGCACACGACGACACCGAGACTGAGACTGAGAGTTCCAAAACCTTTATTGGCCCAAGTCAGTAGTAGAGAGGATTGAGAAATTAAACATATTATTAACTTCATCAAATCAAAGCGACTTATTATCATGTTGCAGACTTGCAGTTGCAGTAAACCCCTTTCTTTTTGTATTGAGTAAAATAATAAATAAAGCAACAATCCATTTGTTGTCGCACGGATTGATTGGGGGCAACGAGGTAAATTTACTTTTTAGGTTGGGGGTAAGTCGAGGTGAGGTATTCGTTTTTAGGACTGTAGACCGAGGCGAAGTCCCTAGTGACCAGAGATACTACAAGACAGGAAATGTCAGAGGCTTCGGGTGAATATCCAAGGCAGAGGCTTCGACGCTCAAATTAGTACGAGGTGTAAAGTAGGAAATGGTGCATGAGAGGCCTTGGATGCACCAGATCTCCCTAAATAAATGCTAAGGAGATAAGGTAGGTGTTGGGAGTAAATGAGTGAGTGATGTTGGAATTTTCTGTCTAGATCCCCTTTAAAGGGCAGTTACCTCTTATTTATTCTTAAATGTGTTAGAGGTAGGTGAAGATGAGGTTACAGGCACTGGTAGGTACGTCTGACCTTCATATGGTTGGCTCCGTACAAAAGCAATAGGACTCCCTCCTAAGGTGATTGACGTTGTCGGGCGTTAGTGGGCTGGGCCAAGCTAACCCACATCACCATTCATTCAATTCAAGTATTAAACCATTTTCAGTTAATCCTTTTCAAAAAAATGTAAATGGTTATTTGGACCTCTTCCAAATAGGAGGTGCAGGGTCAAACCTGCTGAACTGCATATTCTTCCTGTGGGTATGACACTCGTTGTGACCCCGAGTCCCCACAAAAGTCTAACTAAGATTTCGTAGTTTTGCTATTAGCATTTTTTACGGACTGGTTTATCTCTCAATTTTCAAACACCTCGCCGGCGACCGAGACCGCTAGCAAATGACATTCTTCTTCTTCCTTTTTATTTAAAAAATTATGGATCTCCTCATTGAGATGGACAATATCCAATTCCATTGTCATGAATCTCTCTAATTCTTGCTGATCGAAAAGGGGAGGTAGGCGATCCTCCTCCAACATACAGCTTATAAGAGATTCCCTAATTTCACAGTGTCTTGCTTAAAATACAGACCCCTGCTATTTTCTCCCTTCTATTCTTTATGATATTGTTTAGAGAAAAATTCTAACTTTTTGTTTCTGTTTTATTCTTGAGGCAATCTAACCGAACATAGCATAAGAATTTGTGTTGTTTTGTCCATTTTTTTTACCAACTGTTGAGAATAACTTATTTTGATTTGACCCAATTTTTCGCAGCAGATAGCGGGAAATAAAACCATGACGGAGTAATTTTACTTGTTCCGGTCATAACTCAGAACTCATAAGATCCAATCTAATCGCTAAAAAGATGCGAAATTCTCTTAAAATCTTTCTCCACTTCATTTTCAGACCATCTAAAGTTACTTTACTTTTTTTAGGGTTTTTATTATTCTCCCATTTCATAAATTATTTTTTTTTGTTTTATGCAATGAGAATAATGCCAAGTGGAAGCTAGAATCTATTTACGATGAAAGTTCTTCCACAATAAAGGAAGGTTTCCCCGTAAAATCACAATAGAAAAAGTTTAAAATTATTCTTCTAACCGTCATCAATTATAGTGTACAATCTATTTTAGTATGTCCAAATTCCAATCTCATCGGGGCAGAACTTTTTCATCGGGCACTCCCAATGTCTTGGGAAGTTCCGGCATTTTGTTTTCTTAGCAAAGGGAAGGTGGGGGGAGTTTTCCATCGAAGATCCTAGGCAATTACTAACTCACTCGTTTCCTTACCCCAGGAAAAAAAAAATATATATATATATATATATATACAGAAGAAGAAGAAGAAGAAGAAGAAGAAGAAGAAGAAGAAATGGAGACGTATTTGAATCAAAATTTTGGAGATGTGAAATCCAAGAATTCGACAGATGAGTCACTTCAGCGATGGAGGAAGCTCTGTGGCTTTGTCAAGAATCCCAAACGAAGGTTCCGCTTCACGGCTAACCTCTCCAAGCGTTATGAGGCGCAGGCTATGCGACGTACCAATCAGGTCTCTCCCTCTCTCACCTAAACTCCCCCCACACTCCACATATATTAAATCCATCCTCTATCTTTTTTCGCAGTTGGGGTGTTATTTACGCATTGAGATATCTGCCCTTTGCGTGTCTAGATATTGATTTCCTTTTCTTGTTTTTTTTTCTTCTTCCAAATTTCTTGTCTTCTCTTTGATTCAGAATGTTCTTTTTTTCGCTGATGAAAATTTTGACAAATAAATGAATTGCTTCCTTTGCTCATCGTTTCGTTGTCACCATGTTTTTAAGTAACCAGTCCCCACGCCCTTATTTCGATTTGTATTAAAAACATGCCGCAACGCTTGATTGATTGAAATGTTGGACAGGTCAATAGCAGATAGCTCGGTTTATATTTAATGAGAAATACAGATCTTATCAATGAGTCGAACTTAGGAAACTCAATTATCATTCCATAGCCTAGTCAATCAAAGCATGGGTCCTCATTGGTGGGAACCATTTAGGAGATATCCCACCCCAAGAGTGAAAAGACTCCGTGTCCTGATGGTTTAGGATCAGTCAGCTCACAGCTGGGATGGTTCTGACTTGTGGGTGATAGAGACAGAAGTGGACTGCACAGCATGGATAGGATTATCTGAATTAATGACCACGAGCGCCTTCCGTATGTTTCACACCCTCACCCTCCCTCCTCAAATGTAATGCAATGGCATATTTATTTTGCTGCCTTTTCTTTTTTATGTAGAATCCAGGAAAAAGGGATGACTGCTTTTAATTTTCATCCAACAACACAGGTGGATTTACATTAATGATGTAATTCCAATTGAAATCAATTCCAGTTGGCTGAGGTGCACTTAACTTGAGCAGAATTCAAAATCCTGACATAATAACATGTTGCAAAACGTAATTGTCTCTTCAAACTTTTGGTTCAGTGGACATTACTCTGAAAATCAAGTCGGCAAGGCAGAACAGAGCAGGAAGCTATTAATTGTGCTAACAAGTTTCTATAAGGACTTAAAACTCGTCGCTGCTACTGTACTGTATGTCAGGGGAATCTAAACCGTCCTGAAACTATCTATAAAACATTGAACCTAGTTTGTCACAGAGGCATATTGATGAACCATCCCATCTTGATTTTTTTTATTAATAACTATCTCGAAATTTTCAAGGATTGTGTTTTCTTCTTATGAGATGGTGGTCTTTCATGGGGGGAGGGGGGTGGGGTGGGGGGGAGTTCTTTTGGATTCAGCTGGGCATATCTAACTTTATTGCGCTTTGCTAGATGGATGATAACTTTTTCTCTCTTGGATATTGTAGGAGAAGTTGAGAGTTGCAGTTTTGGTTTCAAAAGCTGCACTTCAGTTTATCCATGGTATGATTCTTGAAAAGTTAAATTGAACTAGTGCATCATCAAGTTCTCTATTTTAACTACTCCTTGAATGTTTTCAGGCATTACACCATCCGGTGAATACACTGTCCCCGGAGAAGTAAAAGCTGCAGGTTTTGAGATTTGTGCCGATGAGTTAGGATCCATTGTTGAAGGCCATGATGTAAAAAAGTTGAAAATTCATGGTGGGGTGGAAGGTTTGGCAAACAAGCTTTCCACATCGACTACTACTGGGCTTACCACTTCTGCAGATTTGCTCAAATGCAGACAAAATATATATGGAATCAATAAATTTACTGAAAGCCAACTAAGAAGTTTCTGGGTGTTTGTATGGGAAGCCCTTCAGGACATGACTCTTATCATCCTTGCTGTGTGTGCTTTCGTATCCCTGATTGTTGGCATAATAATGGAAGGATGGCCAAAGGGAGCCCATGATGGCCTTGGAATTGTTGCAAGCATTATGTTGGTTGTATTTGTCACTGCAACAAGTGATTATCGACAATCTCTTCAGTTCAGAGATTTGGACAATGAGAAGAAGAAGATTACAGTGCAGGTTACTCGGGATGGGTACAGGCAGAAGCTTTCAATATATGATCTACTTCCTGGTGATATTGTGCATCTTGCAATTGGAGACCAGGTTCCAGCAGATGGGTTATTTATCTCCGGGTTCTCTTTGTTGATAAATGAATCCAGTTTAACTGGAGAGAGTGAACCCGTGGAGGTAACTGCTGATAATCCGTTTCTGCTATCTGGTACCAAGGTCCAAGATGGGTCGTGCAAGATGCTGGTTACCACGGTTGGGATGAGAACCCAATGGGGGAAATTGATGGCTACACTTAGTGAAGGAGGAGATGATGAGACCCCATTGCAGGTTAAACTGAATGGTGTTGCCACCATTATCGGAAAGATAGGTCTATTCTTTGCTGTTGTTACCTTTGCAGTCTTGGTACAAGGGCTCCTTGCTCATAAATTGAAAGAAGGAAACTATTGGAGCTGGTCTGGAGATGATGCGTTGGAAATGTTGGAGTACTTTGCAGTTGCAGTTACAATTGTTGTTGTTGCAGTACCTGAAGGGCTGCCATTGGCAGTGACTTTGAGCCTTGCCTTTGCCATGAAGAAGATGATGAATGATAAGGCACTTGTCCGCCATCTGGCTGCATGTGAAACAATGGGCTCTGCCACAAGCATCTGTAGTGACAAGACCGGTACACTGACCACTAACCACATGTCTGTTGTGAAAGCATGCATTTGTGGGAATACTAAAGAAGTGGGCAACTCTGAAGAGGCTTCTAAGTTATGTTCTGGAATCCCTGATGCTGCTGTTAAAATCCTTCTCCAGTCCATATTTACTAATACTGGGGGAGACGTTGTAGTTAACAAAGATGGGAAACTTGAGATTTTGGGAACACCCACCGAGACTGCTCTGTTGGAGTTTGGCTTGTCACTTGGTGGAAATTTTCAGGGTGAGCGCCAAACATCAAAAGTAATAAAAGTTGAGCCATTTAATTCTGCGAAGAAAAGAATGGGGGTTGTGCTAGAGCTTCCTGAAGGTGGTCTCCGGGCCCACTGCAAGGGAGCTTCAGAAATTATTCTTGCTGCATGTGACAGGGTTATAAATGCAAATGGTGAGGTTGTTCCCCTCAATGAAGCATCAATCAACCATCTCAAGGATACCATTGAACAGTTTGCAAGTGAAGCTCTTCGAACTCTATGCCTTGCTTATATGGAAATGGGAAGCGACTTCTCTGACAAGGATCCTATTCCAGTTACCGGGTATACTTGCATAGCCATTGTGGGAATAAAAGATCCCGTGCGGCCTGGAGTCAAGGAATCTGTTGCAATCTGTAGGTCAGCTGGTATTACAGTGCGGATGGTTACCGGTGATAACATTAACACTGCTAAAGCAATTGCCAGAGAATGTGGCATTCTGACTGATGGAGGTATAGCCATCGAAGGTCCAGAGTTCAGGGAGAAAAGTCAGGAAGAATTGTGTAAAATAATTCCCAAGATTCAGGTTTTCTCTACTTTCTTTCTACTTATCTTAACAAATAATGGGACAAATTTACCCGTTATCAACCTCTAAAATTTCTTGTTATCCCCAGGTGATGGCTCGATCTTCTCCCATGGATAAACATACCTTGGTGAAGCACTTACGGACCAATTTTAACGAAGTTGTTGCCGTCACTGGAGATGGTACAAATGATGCTCCAGCACTTCATGAAGCAGATATTGGACTTGCAATGGGCATTGCTGGAACTGAGGTGATTTTCTTTACCGTGAACAGTTTGTTTCTGTGGTAAACATTCATGAATGACAATTATTTTTTGGTAGTTCCAAAAATGGAAGTTCAACAACTGGTTTGCAAAATTAAAATTCTTGAAGCAAAAGCATAGAAATGCATTCTGGAGTTTTTGGTTTCAAAAACATAACTTCCTTTATTGGTTTGATATTTATTATGTTTAACAAAGTGTACAGAAGATGTCCTTATTTATTATTTTCTTTGAATCACATTTGACCTCCACTGCCTCATAAATATTTGCTTCTCTTCTCTTTTCTTGTAGATTTCATCTTTTGTCATTTGTTTACCCTATGCAAGAAATAGATGATTAGTAGAGCTATTTTGGATTTTGAAATTTCAATATATAGGCTTTTAGGTACTAAAAACGACAAATAGACTTGGTTTTATTACTAGAAAACAAAAATATCTTTTTGATCAATTTCTAGGTCGGGCTGGAGCTCAGGCCCGAACATGTTCTGTTAATAAAGAGGCAAGGCCCTGCCTGGTCCGTGAATAAGTCTTTGTAGGATTAGTGTTTACTTCAATTATCACAAGAGTTTTTTCTTTTTTTTTTATGAGATAGAATTATCAAAATAGAAACATTTTATGGGATTAAGATTAACTGTGTTTACTTCAATTATCACAAGAGTTTTTTTTTCTTTTTTTATGAGATAGAATTATCAAAATAGAAACATTTTATGGGATTAAGATTAACTGTGTATATGGAATTCTATGATAGTTATGGGCCACAAATCCTATTTTTTTTATAATAAAAAATTGAAAGTAGAATAAAGTAGCATATGTGATAGCAGAATATAATTATATATTGTATTTATGTAAATAATTATATAATTATGCATTGTCATCACAATTCAATCTCTGATTTGATCTCGATTGAAAGTCTGACCATGAACCTCTCCCTTTTCTGGGTTGATGCTCGGTCCGGTTCTCTGAATATTGGATGAGGGTCTAATGTAACCTAATTAAGAAATACTAGAATGATAGAGTTGTAGACAGGAGTCTAATGTAGTCAAACAATTGTTGTAATGGTTGTGGAGAATTAAAGTAACAGATGTAATGTGAAAAAGGAGAAACTATTTGGAGGGAGGGATCCTCAACTTTTTATTCCAAATTTTTAAACACTATTTAATGATCATACAAGACAATCAACTTCATACATCTCTTGAAAAGTTCCAATAAAAAGGTCATTACCTATGTTGATCCGCAACTATCTGGGATCTTGGGAAGGATGAACTGCATGCAGACCTAACCTTTGGATTTTTTTGCACAAAGTGGCTGCTCTCAGACTTGAACCATCATTCTCACACTTGTTAGCCCAAAGTTTTACCATTACACCCTATGAAATCCTAAATGAACCTTATGATAAGAAACTTGTTAAGTAATTATAATTTCAATGTGATTTTCTAAAAATAAAACCACATCCAAAACCAATTACACCAAAGCAAATCCTAAAAGTAATAAAACCTTAAATTTGGAACTCAAATAAGTAATTAAATTGTTGAACTATTCATTATCTGCCAATCGGCCATACTGGCTAACTTCATTGTAAGCCACATTAATACAAAGTACAAAAGCAACTTAGTGGAGAAGTTAGGCACAAGTAGAATGGTGTCTTATTTTCTGATTCATGTTAAGGTCCAAGTAATTGGGATTGAACTTTGGAAGTTAGCTGTTTCTCATCCTGCCTTTGTTCACTTGTACTGATTTACTGATTGTAGTATGGTATTCAATTATACTTTCAATATCATCTAATTCTGTGCATTATTTCTAGTCCTTGGATTTAGTGGCAATGGAGTTGGTTTCTGAACTAAATTTTTTTGTCTACTAAATTCAATTTTGCCTTTCACTTTGCATGTAGTATTGTGCCTTTATCTTTATATTATTATAAATATAATGTCAAAGAATAAAATCTCGGGAAATTTTTTTCTTCCAAATTTCAGGTGGCAAAAGAGAGTGCTGATGTCATAATTTTGGATGACAATTTCTCCACAATTGTAACTGTGGCCAAATGGGGGCGTTCTGTTTATATAAACATTCAAAAATTTGTGCAATTCCAATTGACTGTTAATGTGGTTGCTCTATTGGTTAATTTTTTCTCAGCATGTTTGACAGGTAAAGGAAAAATATGTAATCTTTAGGGCCCATTTGGTTTGTGGGAATAGGGATATGGAGTTGGAATCGGAATGGCCCTTTTTGATTTCAACCGTTGGTTGGACGGAATCAGAATTTGATTCCCATTCCTGGTAGAATAGCATTCTCCCATTTGAAGGAATGGCCACCCTTCCCAGTTCTGATTCCTGTTTGAATCAAACAGGTGAGGGGAATAGGTCATTCCAATTTTGATTCTGAGGAATTTTGATTCTGATTCTGACTCTAATCCCGACTGCAAACCAAGCGGGCCCTTAACTCTTCTACATTGGTGTAGTATTATATTTTCAAGAAAGATATGTTCTAATGTTTTCTTTTTTTTTTTTTCCTCTTCTTGATAATGTGATGCTTCAGGAAATGCCCCTCTCACGGCTGTTCAGCTTCTGTGGGTCAACATGATCATGGATACACTGGGGGCACTTGCACTAGCCACTGAACCTCCCAATGATGATTTAATGAAGAGATCGCCAGTTGGAAGGAAAGGAAATTTTATCAGTAATGTGATGTGGAGGAATATCTTGGGACAATCCTTGTATCAGTTTCTCATAATATGTTATCTTCAGGCAGAAGGAAAAGCATTGTTTCATCTTGAGGGACCTGATTCCGATCTGATTCTGAACACACTGATATTTAATTCATTCGTCTTTTGTCAGGTAAAGCGAGTTCTCTTAACTGTCCTTATATTTTCCTGATCTGAATTTTCTACAGGAGAGCGAGTGCTGAATGATAAGTTCAACTGATCATTTAATTGCATCAAAACTGTAGAGATACTAATCTTTGCTAAGCTATACGTCAAAAAGTCTAGGGGTTAGAACTATTGTCCACAGTTTTTCATTTAACAACCTGGTTGTGAAAACCCAATTTAAACTGTAACTTACTGAGTTTCTTCCACAGGTTTTCAATGAGATAAGCTCCAGGGAGATGGAGAAAATAAATGTTTTCAAAGACATATCGAAGAATTATGTATTTGTGGCTGTGATAAGTTGCACTCTGCTCTTTCAGATCGTAATCGTTGAGTTTCTTGGTACTTTTGCAAACACTTCGCCGCTCACTTTGTCACAGTGGTTCTTTTGTATTCTCATTGGATTCTTTGGGATGCCAATTGCCGCTATTATTAAGATGCTTCCTGTGGGATCCAATTGAAATAAAAACACGAGGAAATTCCATCATTTTTGTAGCGCCATTCATTCATTTATTTGTTTCAAGCTACTTCGCTTTTGCTAAATTGTTTTTTTTTTTTTTTTTTCCTTTTGTTTTGTTTTCTTTAAACCTGTTGTCTTTGTAGAGTGTAACTATTGATATAGTTATTATCTTGCGTGTTTGTGTACATGTTTCGGTGGGGTTCTCGTTGAGTCATTAACAGTCGATTCAACTTGAAAATTCAGGAGCAAAACAATAGTGTGTTTGTGACTCTTCAATTTTTGAACCAAAGATAATAGGCACTCAATGACTGTCGATTTGAGTGTTCTCAGCTGATCATCATCTTAATTCATAAGTAATTCTGATAATTTTATATTTTCTAGCCAATAAATTAAAGAACACGTTGGGCTGTGTAATAAAGTCGGATTCAGATAAGATACAATAACATCCAAATCTGATCTGAAATCCGATCCGATCTTGGAATCTTGTATTGGGTTTGGATATAACCCGAGTCTCTTATATATCTTTAATATATCAATTATATAGGCTGCGCTTGGATGCGGCCGGTTCACTCTATTTTTACACGGTCCAGTTTTGCGGCCGTTCGGATGGGGTGTAAAAGAACACCAAAGATCGGTGTAAAACCTCATTTTGAAAACGTTTTACTTCGATAATCGATATATCGATTTTTTTTTTTTTATGTAAAACCCGTTCGAACCGCCCATTGATGTAAAAAGCAACGGCTCTCTTCTTCCCCTGCTCTGTCACCGTCGAGTTTTTTTTGTCGGCACCCTACATCGAGTTTCCTCTTTCCGTCATTGTTTCCAACTGCGCAACCCTCTCTCTCTCTGTTCCCCTTGTGACAGGTTCAGACGCACTCTTCTCACAACACAGAGGACACTCCCAGGCATCTCAATGTCCCCATCTCGCAATGAACAACACCGAGAACTTGGATTCCAAGTTCTCTGAAATCGTCCCCATAGCTAATCCAACTCAAATACAATAATACTTCTCTAACTCATTTAACCCTAATCTAGACCACTGAGAGATGACCAAACTCGTCAACAGGTTGGGCTTCGGATTCGGTGTTGTTCCTCCAACAGATCCACCATTGGCCTTACGTAGTCGTTGATCAGAGATGCCTTCGCCTCTTACACCAGTTCACCCCGTTGTTCACTCCAAATGCCATATAAAATATTCACTGATGTTTTACACCGTTCTTCCGAACGCAGAAGAGTGTAAAAGGTGCATTCGGCCAGTTCGCCTTTTACGCTGACACATCTGACCGTTTTGGATTTACATCGATGGACTTTTGTGTTTACACTGTTCCAAACACAGCCTTACCAACAAACTTGGACGTTCAGAATTCAGAGTCCGTCTAGGTGGGCTGGGCCAGGTTTAAGCTCAACTCAGGTGAAGCCCAAACTATCTAATCCATGCCCAAATTGCATTAAAGTTTGATGCACTTGAGCGGGGCTCAGGTTGGTCAATCAGCTCACACTAAAACTTCATATAAATGCACGTGCATATACATACATATGTTTGCATGTATGCATATTTGTATGGCTTATGATTTATCAAAAAAAGTATGTATTTATGCATGCAAAATATGTATCTATATATGCATATATGCATGTATGTCAGGTTGGAATAAGATTGAACTGGGTTTGAGCTACCTAAGGGCCAGACCTGAGCCAAGACCAAAAATAAAAAAGTCCAAACTTTTGGGTCTAGGCCTACCCCAAGGATTGAAACTCTAAATCAGCCTATATAAAATTATGGGCTGGGTCAGTCTACACTTGGGTTGGGCCCACCCAAGTTGCATCCCTACCATTAAAAGCCCTAACTCCACCACATATCCTCTAATACCTTGTTGCATGAGAGGTTCAATATCTATGGATTGGATGGTCTATTGATATTGGTCCAATAGGTGGACTAGGTCCAATCCAATTTAATGAATACTTTGGACAACTCTGGATTGGTCCATTTCAATGTTTAAACCATTCAATCTGTTCAAATTGGTTTTAATTTAGGGCCGTTTGGCACATCTTTCCACATGGTTTTTTGGCTATTTATAAGATGGGAAGACCGATTTTCAGTCTATTTCTGTTTGGCACACGGAAGATCTAACCGTCAAAAGGCGGATCACCAAAAAAGACGCGAGAAGCCCATTTTGGGCTGATTTTGGGAAGTTTTACATGAAGCTTCTCACGTCTTTCGTGTTTTAATCTCGCGCGGAAAGACGCACGACTGCCAAACATGCTTCGAGCGGCTCAAATCTTCATGCAAAAGCTCAATGCATCTTTTGCATGTTAAAACTACCAGAAGATCTTCCCAAAAAAACACCCCAAACGGGCCCTTAGATTCAGTCCAACCTAGACCTAGTCCATATAACTTCATGTGTTTCTTGGGAAAATCTATGATGAGAGAAAGACATAGTAGAGCTTTCATCCACGAAAACCCATTACCGTTTACTCTAGCTCTTTGTATTTATTTAAAGCTTGATATTGAAGTCCAAATCTAATAATATTATCAATTTGGGTGAGCATACAATGTTCTATCTTGGGGCTCGGAAATTGAATTACTTTCACTTTTGATCAATGAAACGGTGTTTCAGGTCGATAGTTTAATTGTAATGTCATCCTTATTGAAAAGTTAAAATATAAAATAATGAAATAATAGAATAATTATTTTTTTTCCTTTTAGGCCCCGTTTGCTTTTGAGTAAATTACTTATACAGGTAAATGTAGTTTCCTGAGTAATCCGAGTAAATACGTTTACCCATGTTCTTTTATTTCTTATGTAAATAAAACAATGACCATTTTAGCCATAAAAATTTATTATTAAAAAGGGTATTTTTGTCCCATTCAAATATTGGCAATTTTCCCCTTAGGTGGAAAAGTTATTTACCCACCTAAGAGATGGGTATCACTTACTCAGGAAAATAAACTTTCCTTGATCCCCACATAAATCTGAAAAAAGAACATGGGATTCTTGATCAATGGGAACCAAAATCCCATTGACCAACTTTCCCCCCTTTCAAAATCCGAAAAAAGAACGCCCCCTTAACAATAAAGAGGCTCAGAAGTTGAACGCTGATCTAGGATGTGACTGCCAGTCCAAAAACACTAGGTAACCATGGGCTCATCAAAACTCGTCAAATAGATTTGATACATGGAGATGAAATTTACATACAATGTGGCATGAATAAACCAGCTTTAATTTGAGTTCGGCTTTCGGTTAGTGCATACCCAGTGCTCACACCGATATTGGATCTGCTCCTCAAAAAGCACGCCTCACACCATGCATTTGGAACATCTCCCCATGAATTAAAATATTACAAGTTCGAAATATTCTAGGTGCATGGCTGATATGTGCTGTGAGGTCGGTGTGAGGTGCGCTCTATAAGGAGCAGATCTGAACTCACTCACTGTTCGCACACGGAAAGGATGCACAACACATTCGAAGGTCCGTGCATTGTCTAAACTCGTGCAAAGAAAGCTAAATGACATTCCCCACTAGCTCTCCTCTTAAATAAAATTAAAAATTCCCGATTAGTACCATGTACTTTGTGCCTAATATCACTTTAGTATGTGACAATCCAGTACCTGCCATTAATCAACAATTAAGTTGCCGTAAGTGACATTTGAAAAGGACACCAGTGCCCTTCGAGTGTCATTTGATTTTATTTATCAACCATCTAAACGTTGACAAAACATTAACAGTTCCAAATATTTGCTTTTCCATTCAAGAAAATTGGGGTTACATTTGAGTAGGCATTCTGTTGACCCCAACTTTCTTGAATAGAAGAGGTAAGGATTTGGGATTGTTAATTTTTTTGTCAATGTTTGGGTAGTTGATAAAGAATATTAGATGACACTCGAAAGACATTTGTGTCTTTATAAAATGTCACTTAACGACTGATCAACAACTAATTAACGATAGGTACTAGATTGTCACATTTTGAAAGTTCGGATATTGAAATGTTGCATTTTAAAGTTCATGGACCAAAGTGACACTAGACACAAAGTACAAAGTACTACTGGGGAATTTCCCCTAAAATTAATCCATTCACCTTTTTTATGGGAAAATTCCCGATTACTACCCTGTACTTTGGGCTTAGTGCCACATTGGACCCCAAACTTTAAAATGCGACAATTTAGTACCCGAACTTTCAAAACATGTCAATCCAGTACTTACCGTTAACCAACCATTAAATGCCTTTGAAAATGACAAATTCCCTTCGAGTGTCATCTAATTTTCTTTATCAACCATCCATACATTGACAAAAAATTAACAGTCCTAAATCCTTTCCTCTTTTATTCAAGAAAGTTGGGGTCCATAATGCCCACTGAGACATGACACTAACTTTCTTGAATAGAAGAAGCAAGGATTTGAGATTGTTAATTTTTTGTCAACGTTTGGATTGTTGATAAAGAAAATTAGATGACACTCGAAGGGCATTTGTGTCTTTTTCAAGTGCCACTTAACGGCTGGTTAACAGTAGGTACTGAATCAACACGTTTTGAAAGTTCGAATACTGAATTATCGCATTTTGAAGTTTGGGGACCAAAGTGACACTAATCCAAAGTACAATTGCAAATCTAGGGGTGGACTGAATCCTACCCATGGATTGGTGCCAAATTTACGGGTAGGATGTGATTTATAGGGGGGGCTACTAGTAGACTAGTTTTTCCTCTCCACCAAATTGAACCCCTATTCACTCTCCCCCTCTCCAACTAGCGGCGACAAACGGCATCACCTTCTACAAATCTCAGATATTGATTCTTTCCTTTTTTTCGGGGAGGGGGGGGGTTAGACTCCACTCTACCTTAGAATTCTGATTTACAGCCCCCTCCTAGTCTATTAGTAGTCCCCCTATAAATTGCATCCTACCCATAAATTTGGCATCAATCCACGGACAGGATTCAGTCCAATTCTAAAAATCCTAGCTTCCACTCTAATGGTGGACTGAACTGTAAATCTCCCCTTTTTTTATTTTCCTCCTCACTTTACTTTCTCCAAAACCACTGAACCGAATCCCTCTTCACTCTCTACCTCTCCAATCGGAATGACATCACTGACGACAATAAAATAATGTCCAAGAGCTCATGTGATAAACGCCAATTTTGAACCAAGCATGGATGAACAAATGAAATTACACTTGCACTTTTCAGCAATCCAGGGAGTATCAAACTTGAACATCTTTGTTGGTCTAAATTCCTTTTATTTTATGTATGGTATGGTATGAAACAATACTCCTTGAACTTAGGATGGAGCAGTTCTCCATCCATATATTTGGAACTAGCTAGTCGGTGGGATTCAATCATAATA